TAACCGGTTTGGCTCAGTGGATAGAGCGTTGGCCTGTGGACTGAAGGGTCCCAGGTTCAATTCCGTTCAAGGCCATGTATCTTGGTTGCGGGCACATCCCCAGTAGGGAGTGTGCAGGAGGCAGCTCATCGATGTTTCTCTCTCATCGACGTTTCTAACTCTCTATCCTTCTCCCTTCCTCTCTGTAAAAAATCAATACAATACAAAAATAAGTAAATAAATAAATAAAAGAACAGCTCTAGCTGGTTTGCCTCAGGGGATAGAGCATCGGCCTGTGGACTGAGGGTCCCAGTTCGATTCCAGTCAAGGGCACATGTCCGGTTGCGGGCTCGATCCCCAGTAGGGGGCGTGCAGGAGGCAGCCAATCAATGATTCTTTCTCATCATAGATGTTTCTATCTATCTCCCTCTCCCTTACTCTCTGAAATCAATAAAAATATATTAAAAAAAAAAGAATCAGTCACTGCTATATGGTCAACATTAGAAGTACTTTTTACTTGCTACTGATCTTTTTTTTTTTAATCCTCACCTGAGAACTTTCTTTTTCATTTTTTTCAGAGAGAGTAGAAGGGAGGGAGAGAGAAATATTGATGTGAGAGAGACACATCGACTGGTTGCCTTCCACACCTGTCCTGACCCGGGCAGGAAGCAAACCCAAAATCCAGATACATGTCCTTGACTGGGAATCAAACCCGAGACCCTTGGGTTTGAGGGCCAATGATCTAACCACTTAGCATACTGGCCAAGGCTTGCTACTGCTCTTGACTGCTTTATGGAAAAACTAAAGTTAGATGAAACAAATCTATGAAAATTGCGCTATATCCAAGTGGCCATATATAATTATAGCAAGATATTTGCCTGCCTCAACCCATAATCAGGCTTAACACCTAGATCTGTAGTCAAAGTGACTTCAGGGTTCTTAGAGCTATCTTAGTACCTGGTTTGGCCTGAAGCTGACTTGGGAAGCATCTCTAGGCTGATGACAGATCTGAGTTTGCATTTCCAGGGACAATTAGGGCCCTCTGGCCCACTTGGCTATATTCTTCCTCCAATCTCTCCAGAAAGGTCCAGGTGTCACCCAAAGGGCCCAGCTGGCCAGCCCACTCTGACCTTGTGACTATGTATCATGGAAGTACTGGAAAGGACGATTGATAGCATCATTCTGATTTTCTGTCAATTCTGATATAAAAACGGAAACACTAGTCCCCAGTGATTATGGATTTGCCTTCAATGTTAAAAAATTATATCCATGAGTTCCATAAAATAATATTGTATAATATAAAATAACTACCTTTACTTTACTCTGCCTTAACCAGTTTACCAAGAAATTTTTCACATTGTAGATGACAGGAAACAATGATAATTTCCAATTTTTCTATTTTATAGGAATTAATCAACATTCATTAATGTTCAAAGACAATTACTGATGAGGCTTTCCTGTAGAAGTACAGAAATCTTAGAAGTCAACTTTCACCCTCCATACTAGATTCTGATATTGGAAATTAGTTGAATGATTTCGATAATTTTGTGCAGTTTAAAATTTTTAGCTCTAAGAATTTAAGGGTTCTGAAATTGCCTCCTAACCTAGCATAACCAAATAGAAGACTGTTAACTTTCAGAACAAGTTGAAAAATAAGTGTTTTAATTTGGTACATTTAATGGACAAAATCCTAATGAGTTGAGTAGGCAAATCTGCAAGCTAAGATTTTTTTTTCAGCTTTAGTTTTAGGTCCACTATCTCTCTCTCTTTTTTTTAAAAAAAATATACTTTATTGATTTTTTTTACAGAGAGGAAGGGAGAGAGATAGAGAGTTAGAAACATCGATGAGAGAGAAACATCGATCAGCTGCCTCCTGCACATCTACTGGGGATGTGCCCGCAACCCAGGTAGACGCCCTTGACCGGAATCAAACCTAGGACCTTTCAGACCGCAGGCCGATGCTCTATCCACTGAGCCAAACCGATTTTGGCTCTCTCTCTTTTTAAAAAAGATTTTTTAAATTCATATTTAGAGAAGAAGGGAGAGGGAGAGAGAGCGCAAAACATCGATATGAGAGCAAAATACCAAGCGGCTGCGCAACCTGGGTGTGTGCTCTGACTGGGAATTGAATCATCAACCTTTCAGTACACAGGACATCACCCAACCAACTGAGCCACACCAGCCAGGCCACTATATCTCTCTTTAATGGGCTTTGCACAAAGTTATATTAATAGGCTCACTGCATTAGAGCACCTGAGAGAAAGAGTATAAATTAAGAGTCTATAACTATTTTTTCAGATGTACCAAAAAAGCACAATAATATCTGTCTTCTTCATACATTAATGACAAAACCATAATAATTAAGGTTTTTTAACAGGTGTTAAGTAGAAATACTTATCTCCTATCTATACTCTTACATTGATTATAAGTCTTCGATGAACAGAAAGCTATAACTGTCTCTCTTCAAGTCTGTCTGTATCACCTAAGCATTGATCACTTTTGGGCAACTCATTCATAGCTGCCTGTCTTTGCTGAATGGTCTTCACAAATCTGAGCAGATTGACGATGGCAGCAGGTGTCACTCCAGGTATCCGACTTGCAGCCCCAATCTATGAATTGAAACCACAAGAAAAACATAAAATGAGCTATGTCAAATAAAATTTTCTTCCAGTGACAGTAACAATTTATATATTACAATTTATAAAATATTTTCAAAACTATTATCTTAATGTTTTCAAAATAACTCTATAAAATAGGTAAAGGAAATGTGTTTATTATCTTCTTTTTTTTAATGGGAAAATGACGCTTAGCAAAATTAAAATGACTTGTCCAAGATCACATAACTAACAGATGTTGGAATACCTACTTTTTCTTTTCATTAAACTAATGTAACATCCCTAGCAGTGTGTTGGGCAGCACCCTATAATTAATCTCAGTATTTCTGTGTTGTATTTTTACAATGAAATATATGAATATTAACTCTAAGTGATGTAAAGACTAGCCTCAGGCCAGTTCAGGTCAGTTTTTTGTGATAATGGATATTTTCTATAACATTTGTACTGTAACAATATTCTGTCCAACATGGTAGCCACTAGCCAACTGTAACCACTGAGCATCTGAATTGTGGCTAATATGAGTGAAGAGTTGAATTTTAATTTTTAAAAATTTTAATTAATGTAAATGGTCTATTTGGCTAGTAGCCATAATTCTGGGCAGTGCAGCCTATGACTATCCATAAAAATATAACCCCAAGCCGAAACCGGTTTGGCTCAGTGGATAGAGCGTCGGCCTGCGGACTGAAAGGTCCCAGGTTCGATTCCGGTCAAGGGCATGTACCTGGATTGCGCGCGCTTCCCCAGTGGGGGATGTGCAGGAGGCAGCTCATCGATGTTTCTCTCTCCTCGATGTTTCTAACTATCTCTATCTCTCTCCTTTCCTCTCTGTAAAAAATCAATAAAAATATATTTTAAAAAAAATATATAACCCCAAAACGAATAGTATATATAGAGGTATAAAATTTAAGGCTTGTTTCCCTGGTTTCCATGACTACTGCTAGGAATACCATGCCATATTGATGAAATCACTCCTTCCTTTAAAAATCATTTAAAGAATATTTACAGACCATATTTTTGTTAATTGTTTCTTTTTTGTTATGAACCACTATTAAAAACAACGACAAAAAAACCCACTGGCCAAAACCGGTTTGGCTCAGTGGATAGAGCGTCGGCCTGCGGACTGAGAGGTCCCAGGTTCGATTCCGGTGAAGGGCATGTACCTGGGTTGCGGGCACATCCCCAGTAGGAGATGTGCAGGAGGCAGCTGATCGATGTTTCTCTCTCATCGATGTTTCTAACTATCTCTCTCTCCTTCCTCTCTGTAAAAAATCAATAAAATATATTAAAAATAAAATAAAATAGAAGGGCAAAGTCCCTTTAAAAAAAAACAAAACAAAAGAAAAAAACCCACTGTCATTAAACTATGGTACACTATCAATTTTTAAGGTACAACTTAGCTTTTCAGAGATGTTAAAATGTATGTCTTAGAATCAATAAATACAGCCTATCAGTCTTCAGCTATTTATTAGAAGTTCAATACTATAAACTACAAAGGTTTTTATAGACATTTACAGATGTGTGTACATGCATGTGCAAGTACACACACACACGTGGGCTAAAGCATGGGGCAGGAAACATCTTTGGCTCCCCTTTCTCCTAGTTGCTCCCAAGGCCACACTATGGAGCCCCCAGAGAGGGATCCGAGAAGTGATTTGAAAATCACCAAATTATAATCAACCGAATTCTTGACTGGTGGTTATTCAGACTAAGCTTTTTCTTCATAAAAATATACTGACATCTGTCACAGAAATAAATATTGAAAATAAGAAGTTACATTTTTTATGATGAAATAAACCATTAGTTATGTGACCATGGTAATTCCAGGTTTAAAAAAGAAAGCACTGGCTCTTAATTTATAACCGATTCCTATCCATTGCTCGTGTTCTTACCGTCTGTGGGCGACTGAAATGTAGCTTCTCTCGAACTTCATGGGACAAAGACACATGCCTGAGAGTCAAATAATCTAGGTCTTTTGGCAGTTGGAGAGCTTCATCTCGCTGAATGTCCTTTATTTCTTGTTGCTGATAGGACAATACTGTTTCATAAGAGGCTGGTGAACAAAATAAATTATGTCATGATAGATTACATTAACAAGTTACATTTTTATAACTTTTTATAATTTATAAAGAGCTTTTGCTGCATTATCTCATTCAACACTTAATCTCAACACCATGAGATAGGTGGGGTACATGTTCCCTTTCGCAGATGAGAAATAAAAACTAAAATAGACGGAATATCTTACATATTACTACAACATTCTGTCTGGTAGTATACTGCATGCCCTTTTTATTTCAAAAATTTGGAAAATTAAGAGAAATTGTGTTTCTTCTCAGTGCAAATTTTGGTGGAACATTCCTCAACAGGCTGTGGGTTTGAATTAATTTATTTTAAAACCTAACCTGAGGTAGTCACTCTGTCCTGTTCAAGAAAGTACGTCTTCCCTGAAGGTTTTGGTAGCACCTGCTTCCATCACTTGTCTGGCAGCTCTGAGCCTGGCTCTGCCAATGAATTACTCTCTAAATATGGGCATGTCTTAATCATTCTGGCCCTCAGTTTCTTTATCTAGAAAATGTAAGTGCTAACTTAGATGATTTCTGATGGTCTTTAATGGTAAAAAGGGTGGTTGTGAAATACACAGGCCTTAGTCAGACAAGCTAGATTCAATCCCAGCTCTGCCACTAACCAGTTGTGTGTTCTTGGGCAAGTTACCATTTATCTGCAAAATTAAGGTAATAATGCTAATACCTATTCTTCACAGGACATCTATAAGTATCAAAAGAAATCATGCACATAAAGGGCTTAATACAACATGACAAAATAACAATTTAGTACAACAAACTGTAATACAACTTTATGACTCATGAATAGACTTGGCAAGGGATCATGGAATATAAATGAGAAAATATATATTAAAGTATATTTATTTAATCTTTCAAATATGTATATAGCAAAAACATCAGAGATAATACAAAGAATCTGAAGTTGATTTCTGCCTTTAAGAAACTTAAAGATCCTCTAGCGGAGGATCTGTGAAGTAATTGGAAAACCACTGATAAGTGTTATATTTTAACCTAGTGTGGTTTCTTTTAAGGGATGGATACGAATTAGAGTCTTTATTTACAAACAAGTTAAAAATCATTACTCTGGATTATTCTAACCTGAACCTGGTGATTTATTGGACAAATTAAGTTGCAAATCAAGTTTAAAATGTAGAATTTTATCACTTTTTTCCAGTGCTAAGAGCCTAAACATGCAATAAAGTAACTTTTACTTAATACAGAAATCATGATATTGAAATAAAAGGTCAACATTACTCCTTATACATTAGTGCACTACTAGTGTCTGGTTCTTTGAAAGAATGATTCTGGAGTTTAAATGGGTTTCCTTTCGTTGCTAGGCTTTTGTTAACTTGCATGGTGGGATGGCAGGCAGCACGTGGGTCATCCTATAAAAGCAGCCAAAGCACAGCAAGGTGATCGGCCTCTGGAACTGATAGGAGATGCCACGGCTTCCCTGGGCCCAAGGAGCTTTAAAGTCCTTTCCTGTTTGAACAGCGCATCATCCGACTTTTACTACTGCTCTCCCCATCTCATTCTGTTTCTTGCCTTTTTACCACCCCAGGAAAACACTTCCTCTATCAAAATACAGAAGCTGATCTTATTCTCAGTATTTTTATGTTTGAAATTTTTCACAATGAAAACCTTTTAAAATTCATCTGTAGCTTTGGGAATCAATGCACTGACTCAGGGTAGGACTCAAGAGTATGGATTTCTTTGCCTGATACAAAATAAGTACCAGTTAATGGTAAAATGTTCCAGTATACTGTCAAAGCCAAACATAGTAATATTTTTCTCATTATTAGAATATTATATGAGGAAACTGTAAAAAGGAAGTTAAAAAAAAGTTGTTGCTTTTTTCTTTAAGGGAGAGATTTACGGTAGTAGTTCCTAAACTTGAAATGTGCACAGTAATCACATGGGGTTTTGTTAAAATGCAGATGTTTACTCAGTGGGTCTGCAGTGGAGCCTGATATTCTGCATTCCTAACGAGCTCCCACGTGTTGCAATGCTCCGAGCCTGGGAACTCCACTTTGAGTAGCACGGAGCCTAAGACTATGCTGGTCCTATGGTAATAATGGCTCCTCTTAAAATAGAGCTCTGCTGTCCATTCATAATTTGTACAATGGAAAAGAGATAATATATATAGGCATTTTAAGTAAAAGAAGTATTTCCTACCTTCTATTTTCAGTCTTTCAGCTAGCTCTCTACATTCAGTATACTTCTTCAAGGGCTCTGGTACAGCCTTTGCCAATAACTCCAGGTCAACTTCTTCATACTTCAGAACATCTAGAGCTCTGCAAATACACAAAAATTTCATTAACATAGGGGTCCATACAACATAAGACAGATTAAGAACGGGATTCCTTGGAAATAATAATCTCAGAATAAATAATATCAAAAGACACCTAATTTTTTCCAAGGACAGTGAACAAATGCAGCAGCATCCGCAACACAGAACCTCAATAAGATGTGTGTGATTCTCCCCAACTCCCTTCCCTTATCATAAGAAATGAGTTGTTGGTAAAGTTTGCATTGCTATAATCCATTTGTCCTTTCTTGTAAGGACAGAATATCCTCTGATAACAAGGGTTTGATTGAATTCCCTAAGAATTTACATCTAAGCCATAGCCATGTAAGCCCATGTTCTGTAAGAGAGTCATCCTTTTGCATTCTCGGACCCAGCTGAAGGAAGTCTCCTGCTTGCTCCAAGACTGCAAAATATTCTGCACTTTCCCTCTCATTTTGTGTGGTTTTCACAAGGCCCCACTGATCTGTACAGTTTGCCTATATTTACTACAGTAATTCATTTTATTTTTATTTACTAACTTTGATCTTTCCCTCTTTTTGTAGATTGCCTTTTTAATAAATGCTGCCCACCCAAAACCAATTAAAACAAGTCATTATCAAATTAACAGGAAGTCAGATCTGCCCATCCAGGGGTCCCAAGTACTCCCAGGCTTCCCACCAATCTTATTTATAGCACATTCTATTATTACAGTCATGCATTACCACCTTGTGCAGATGTCTGACTCATCTATTCCTGAGGAAACCTGCTCTAGGAAAGTCCAGAAATTCTCTCTCCACAGGAGACTGGACAACTAATTACAGAGGCCTCAGCAGATAAGCTACACTGAAGCCATAGAACCAGATGCTCCAAAAGGGTAATGGTTATCAATTTCAGAAATTATAGAACACTAGAGGCTCTGGGCATGAATTTGTGCACGGGTGGGGTGTCTTGGCCTGGCTGGCGATCATGGCTGATTGGGGCCATCTTGCCCAGTCCCGATCAGGGCCCATTGGGGCTGGCCAGCCAGGGGGAGGAACTGTGGGAGGTTGGCTGGCCGCAGGAGGTTGGCTGTGGGAGTGCACTGTGTTGAGCGTCTGCCCCCTGGTGGTCAGTCAGTGCATGTCATAGCTACGGGCCGGTTGTAATGGTCCCTTAGGCTTTTATATATATAGATAACGGAATGCACTTCCTAATGACTAACCCAAAAAAAGAGTTACTTTGGAATCAAATAGGGTTGTGACCTCAAAGAAAAACCCCTGACCATCTAACTTATTAAAAAAACAACCACCCTTTGTTTACAAGGCTTGGTTCACAGGTCCAGGTTTAAAGACATGCTTTGAGTCAAGCCTAAGTCTCAGAGTACAGAGGTCTGGCACAGAAAAGGCAGAGGTCTGGCACACTTCTACAGAAAATAAGAGAACTTCTGAGTTGCCTAACTCATCAATGGGTTTCTGTGTAATCCTGACAGGAAATGAATGTGCACATGCATTTGTGTATCTCTCTAGTTAAAATGCCTGCTCAACCCAGCTGGTGTGGCTCAGTGGTTGAGCACTGACCTATGAACCAGAAGGTTTGATTCCTGGTCAGAGCACATGCCTGGGTTGCAGGCTCGATCCCCAGTGGGGAGTGTGTAGGAAGCAGCCAATAATGGTTCCCTCTTATCCTTGATGTCTCTCTCGCGCTCTCTCTTTTCCTTTCTCTCTGAAATCAATTTAAAAAAAATGCCTGCTCAACTTGTCAGTGCTCAGCACAGAGCCTGGCATGTATGCAGTAAAAGCCATCAATGTATTTTGACCAACTTCCTATCTTTTTAGTTTTATATACCGAGGCATTGATAAAGTGAGTTCATTTAGGATACTAAATGTCAACGTAATCAAAATTTTTTATTTTTATTTACATTTTATTGATTTTTTACAGAGAGGAAGGGAGAGGGACAGAGAGTTAGAAACATCGATGAGAGAGAAACATCGATCAGCTGCCTCCTGCACACCCTCTATTGGGGATGTGCCCGCAACCAAGGCACATGCCCCCGACCGGAATCGAACCTGGGATCCTTGATTCTGCAGGCCGATGCTCCATCCACTGAGCCAAACCGGTTAGGGCCAAAATGTAATTTTTTATATAAAAAATAGTAAGTTAAAAAGAAGGGAATTCATTTAGAGAGGCTGAATACTAGGCTGTAAATATTCTGCTGAAATCAAATATGGGGCACTGGGACCCTGTTTCCTCCTTAAGGGAAAGACCCAAATTGAAAAGGAAAGCATTTGGCCAAATTACTATATTTTTAAAATCACCTTAATCATAGGATTTGTTTGATAAAAATAAAACTGTAGCCTCCTTTAACATCTTTTTATCATTCTATTAGCATTTTAAACTGAGTTGAAAACAATTGCTCCCCTTCTTTCACTATGACCTCAAACATATTAGTCACATTTAATGCAACTTCTAATTATATAAATTTGAAATAGTATGATATTTGATCAAAACAAAGCATAATGTCATAAATTCCTTGTGCAGTTTGAAATAATATGTAACTTCCTAAATTTAAACAGCTGTAACATTGAGTCAATTACAATTATGAACTACTAGAGGCCCAGTGCACAAAAATTTGTGCACTCGGGGGGAAAGGGGGGGGTCCCTCAGCCCGGCCTGTGTCCTCTCGCAGTCTGGGACCCCTCGGGAGATAACCCCCTGCTGGCTTAGGCCTGCTCCCGGGTGGCAGAGGGCAGGCCCAATCCGTAGGTGCAGCCCCTGGTCGGGCTCAGAGCAGGGCCGATTGGGGAGTTGGGGAGCCGCC